TCACTCCCACTAGGTTTAAATCTGGGACTCCCCACCATTTGACCTTAGAACTGAAGAAGCTTCTCGGATGAGAGGTGAAACGTCTTCAAGCAATTTAAAGAAGTCCAGACGCTTTTCTTTCCAAGCTCCTTAGACCAAAAACACAGACATTCTGTACTTAAGTAGAAGTACAAATACTACTGTTAAAAACTACTCCAGTAAAGTACTGGTTCAACTTCTTTACTCTAGTAAAGGTGCAGGCTCTGAGATGTACTCAAAGTAATAAAGTAAAAACTATCTCTTTGAATCAGAATGTCTTTATCATCGTTGTTGCAGGTACAATGAAATTAAAAGAGGTCCCCAATCAGTGCATGATCCATAGAAATATGAAAATATAAATAAAAACAATAAAACTGATTAAAAATCAATAAATAAATCCCCAATGAGAATAGTATGAGCAAACATTCACATACATCTCCACACACATGCCTCAGTCAGTGCAGAGATCATTTCAAGAATGGCGTGATGGACATTTTTTGGTAACAGCATTCAGACGTGTTATTGTGGTTGGAAAAAGCTGTGTTTGAGTCTATTTGTCCTTGCACTGATTGTTCTGTCCCGTTTCCACGAGGGCAAAGTAGGGTGTGAGGCATCTATTATATTGATCTGAGCTTTTTTAAGACTGCGGGTGTTGTGTAGATCTTCCAGCGTGGCGAGAGGGCAGCCAGTGATCCTTTGGGCGCTGTTAATGATTCCTTGGACTGCTTTCCTCTGAGCCACTGTGCAGCTAGTGTACCACATGCATATGCAATAGGTTAGTACACTCTGGATGGTGGCTCTGTTGGAGGACGATTCTATTTTTGTGCAAAGCTAACTGAACCTTGTGCTATATTAACATAATAATAAAATAATATTAGAATATGGGAACACCAATTTTTGTCTAACTTCTTTTAATTCTAATTATACTCGGCTTGAATCTGGAGAAAAAGAAGAAAAATGTATATCTCTATCTTCTGTTGCCTCCATTGTACAGGGGGCTGTGACTATAAACAGGAAAATGATTCGGGAAGAGCTTAAAGTGGATTCAGCAGGTGGGGGAAACCTAGAATCAGCTGTAGTGGCTCAGCGTGGGGAAAAGAATCATAACTCAGTCATTTCTATTGAGAGGTCCAGTAGATTTTCTTAGTGTGCAGCTGACCTGCTGATGTGGACGTACACAGCTGCATTCAACCAGATGTCAGCAGATGTTTCATGAGTTGGCTGATTTCATCCTGTACACTGACAGTACGCTGTTTATGCTGTGTGTTTTCTAGATTGTATAAAGTTTCTATGAAGGTGGAATTCGGTGAATGAATCTCAATCTCTGGATGACATAATGACATCAGTTGAACTCATGAATGAATCAAACAATGTCTGAAAATGCTGCTTATAACTGTGGAAACTTGAACTGCATTGGTGGCACAAAAGCCTGATCAGCTTCCAGCTTGAATCTTTTCCATCAGGTGAAAATGTCTTCATCTGTATATCTGTAAGGTTACAGTCATCGCTGTCAAAGACATTATTCCAACATCCGCGTTACTTTTAAAGTGGCAGCTGTCCTGATTTGACCGATAAAATTCACAAAAAGAATTCATGCAAATAATCAAAGTGAACTTAAATAAAACATTCATGCCTTTAATGGTGAAAGTGAATAAAAGAAATGGTACGGGAACAAAGATCTGAAAGCTGCTTTTCAACATTCTCAGTATGCCGCGCAAATTCAAACCTTAGAGATATTAAATCAGATCATTTTAAAGTCTACCTGAGCGAAGCTGTTTGAGGCGCCCGTCGCTGCTGCTGAGATTCACAGGAAGCATGTCCTTGAACCACGAGATC